CTTTTCATCTTTTGGTTTCTTACTTGAAACATGGCCATCAGAGATTTAGTGAAACCCCTATTTAAAGAACAAAAATTTCCTGAGTTTGTTTCCTGAGCCACTGTGTACTGACTGGGAGCTATGGCAATACATAGATATCAATTCCAACCACAACTTAACAGGATATTTGCTATCTAGCAAATTTATTTGTTATAAATTATTGAACTTCTGTGAGTCTTGTTTTGTCATCTCTCAAATTAGGGTAATGCCACTACTAACCTTCTCAGTTATTATGAGGAAAATGAGATGATGTATGTACAGGCCATGCCACATGCTATGCATTCATTAAGTGTTAGTCACTAATTGCTACCACCTTTGATTAGTTTAATTAGAATTACCAGGATTTGAGTGTCAACTTAGTTATTTTTCCCTCCATATACTTAAAAAGAGATTTCCCTCAGTCTCTACTGCAGTTACCTTTTGCTTATTTCCCATAAATTTACAAATGCATAAAATTTTATACCACAGACTACTCAGTAAAAACAGGATTCTTTATTCCTATGATAAAAACAAATGTGTTGCCTGAAAGTGCAAAAGGGTTAAATTATCATATAATAAAGGTTATTTTGTGTCCCTCAGAATAGTCCTCACCTCAGTTGATTTCTTCACCAATTCCTAGGTTAATGCTGATTTGCTTTTATACAGAGGTAAATGATGTGGTTACTGAAATTCTGTCAAGGATGTTCATTTATATGGATCAATTTTTATTATTATGTTCTGGGTATGTTATAATTTAAATCTTGGGCTACGCCTTAAAAGTTACTATGTCATATGATTTGCATATTTAGGCACTTACATTGTCTTGAACTTTATACACATATGAGAAGAAATAGAAAAGACTATGCCCATATAATTAATAGCTTTTTATTCTTTTTCTTTCATATAATTTGGATGTTTTTATGAGGTTTCATTGCAATAGTGAAATGTTGTCATCCTTTTATATTGATTCTAAACACTTTTGTCTTAAGTCAACTAAAACTTTAAAGTTTTCTATCTTACAATAGTGATATGAACATGAAGTCAACTATTTCTAACACCTAAAACAAAACAAAGCATAAAATTAGAGCATAATCATAATAATATTGTAGACAAATTGGGAGATCTTGACTGGTTTAGAAATTATTTTAAGATTTTTATGTTTCATAATGTTTAATAGTTAAAAAATATTTTAGTAAAAAAACTTTTACTTGGATGCCACAGTGAAATATAAATTTGCTATTAGTAGGGACACACCAACTGAATTTAATGCAGTTTATATTTGTTATTATCTAAGTGCATGTGTGTAATTCAAACACAGTACAGTATCCAAATTTAAAAAAAAAAGAATACAGGAAATCCCTTAAGAAAACTTAAATGACAGAATTAAATATCTCAATTTTTCAAGATGCCAAGTAAGTAAATGTTTACCTTTTTGTCATTTAATATACCTATTTTTAAAGCTAGTATTTAGCAACTGTGTATATCATCTCTCATACCTAGAATAAATCAAAGTATAAAACTAAGAAAGATTTTTAGTGTTAGAGAAAATAAGACCAGCTTCAGAAATGTTATGTGTGTGAGGCACGATGTGATATCCCTTTAATGTATGGACTCCATCGATACACTGCATTGCCTAAGACTAAATGTTTTAGTGCTAGGAAAAATCAAAACAGACAGTCTAGAGTTATTTCAGGGCATCAGAAGGTACCCTTCCTGTTACCAAAAAGAGAATCATAGAATATTAATTCTGAGAGAGATCATGATTATTCTTTTTAACCTTGTCATTTACATGAGATTAAAGTAGTTCTTCGAAACACAAACTTACCTAGTAAGACAATGAAGAATGAGATGGAGAGAAAATTTGGAATTTGATCAAAAGCCAAAGGGAAGATTGGAATTGGGAAGTGAGGGAGGAGAATATAAAAGTCTGTGCTAGATTAGGTCAGCTGTAGGTCTGGAAGAAACTGCTTATGACACTGTACCGTTTTTTTCTCCCCAGGAAATAAGAAAAGCCCTAGCTTGCTTTCTCACTGGGAAGTAGCCTTCAGTGCCAGAAAATCACCCTAAGGCTGTCCCTATTGTATCTAATTCTCTGAATAGTTGGAACATTATTTTTTTTAGAAGTGAAAAAAAAATCTTGTTATTTCCCTAATTCTGAATAATTTTATAACATGGTTGCAAATTGCATCTAAAGAAGGTCATCCTGTCACTCAATACATGATTGAGAATAGTCTCTTTTCTGTTTACAGAAAGCAAAAGTATGCAGGACTTGAAAAATAGCAGAGGAGGGAGTGATCAGGGTGAGAGAAACAAGGTGCAGCAAAATAGTTCAAAAACCCTGAAATAAAGTATGCTTTTGCATAGTTTTGACACTGTTTATCTTGGTATGCAGATAAACGGGGGTCGATATAGGGAGACTTTCTCATGAGCAGTCATGCAGATACAATGCTTCCCATAAACATTCCTTTGAATATCACAAAGTTGACAAATCGATGAAAAATCACTTGTTTGATTTGGATTATCCTTTCATATGAGTAACGTCTTCATGAAATACCTTCGTGCTCAGAAAATACGTGAACTGAGATATGATGGCATTCAGAAGACTTTTAAAGAAAAGTTCAGTCCTACGAAAACCAAATACTCTTAATGTTTTAGCATCAATAAGAGCTTAGATTTCTGTTAAGAATATGACAAAGGATGTAAGTATGAGCAACGTTAAAGAGGGGTGAAATTTCCAAAGTTTCAGCTGCATCTCAACTTCGCCTATCATAAGGAAAGTAATCTGCCTTTCAGTTCTTGTAGGACAAGATTTGCTTGAGTGCTTTCTGGCATGCTAGAGCTTCCCTTTTGTGTATTGTATGCATGATTTAGAAGAAGCTGTGTCAGCACTGATTTATACATTGACAGCTAAGGATAATAAGATATGGGCAAACATAGAGCTCACCCTTTTACAGATGAACCTGGAGACTGCATTAGGCAAATTTGATAGCATTAAAAGATTTTGCCAATTTGTCTGGAAACAATTTCTCTTTTGTAGTGTGTCAGGGGTAACACTTCATGCCATTGTACTAATTTAAATGGCTTTGATAAATTGTTCAAGAGGTTAGAGAATAGTAGTGTAGATATATATTTAGCACTTTAAAATAAAAAGGCTATTAACTTAATTGTTAAAAGAATTTAATCTGTAAAAATCAAAATGTTCAAGAACAGCAGCCATGTTACATCATGAGGCTTTAAATGTCTTCTCTGAAAATAACTTATACTTCTGCATTACTTCCTAATAAGTAGAAATGCTTTAGGCTGTTACAGTAACATGAGTGTTTGCTATGATTTGGAGGAAGCCTAGGCTTAAAAAAACAATAATGTTGTATCATCTTTGGGGTGCACTTTAAAAAATATTACATATCCTAGATTGTACCATTTACATGACATCAAGGTAAGTTAGTGTATGATTGTGTCCCCTAGAGACCTTCTTCAAAATGAGATGTATATTTCATGAGACAGTCTCAGTTTACATAATTTCTAAAGTGAAGAATTTGAAGAGGCCCCTTTGAAAGTCTCTGGATTAAATCATTGCACCTTTATTCAGTAGTCTTGCAAGAGAAACACCTATTTTATGGGAATGTTGAAACATTTTTTAAGAACAGATCTCAAATACCAATTAGCCCTTTCAGTGAATTATGAACTTAAAACAAGGACAAGATTCCTTTGTAATATGATCATAATCTTGCTCCTGTACACCTGCATTCATCTACTAGTGTACGAAGAGCTAAAAACTCATTTATTTCATGGAGTATCTATGTCAAAGGAAACATTAAAATATTTTTCTAACTGAAAAAAATAACATCTCGAAGCATCAAACTACTGTATTTAAACAACAGCTGCTTACTTGAAAAAAAAGAGGATGGTACAGATAGAATTTAATATTTAACTGTTCATTTCAACCAAATAGGAAGCTTAATATGAATACGGACATTTTAATTCCAAAAACAGGCAGCAGGAAAAAGCAAACTTAACCAAGTTTAGAGCATCTTTCTCTTGCTTTTTTTTTTAACTTATTAATTTTAACAAATGAATACTTAAGCTACTGGAGAAGATTTTGTTTGAATTATGTATTACTTAGAATTAGCTGATACAGCTTTTAAACTTTTTACCATAGATACATGTAGTATTTTAACAATGTGACTGTAGTATATGCTTCTTAATCTTTTGGGCTGAAATTTGCACCTGTAAGAAAAGCAAATTATTAATTAATTTTGATTACTTAAAAATGTATTTTCTAGAGAGTGGTATAATTCTGGAAGTTTCTTAACCTAAAAGTATGCTGTATTTACAGTGCAGAAAATTTGCATGTAATGATAAGGAATGTAAATTATGAGAATAGTGACACTTAATATAGAACAACTGCTAGCTTTCTAAAGTGTGTTTCTGGTTGGGAATAGCAGGGAGATACATAAGACATCATTCTCTTTTCAATTCGGAGTTCTCGAAGGAAAACTGCTTTTAAAAGAAGGAAACCTAAAAGTAGTCTTGTTCTTTCATGCCAAGGATAGTGAAATTAACATGCAGCTGGGCTTCTCTGATAAATGGATTCTGTTAGGTCACTGAGGGGGTGCATGTGACATTAAGTGATTTACAGTCCTTTACCTTAATGAAATTGTTTCAGCAAGATGACGCTGAAAGCTCTTAATGGATAGCTTTTCTTGATGTAATGAAATTGCATTCCTATGGCATTTAATATAAGGTGCAGTTATTATTTACTGGAGCTTTCCAAGGGCTGCTATTTGCACAGACAGTTCAGAACAAAAAGATTTCAGTGGCGGCATAGAGGCCAGAATGGCTTATGACATCCATAAGCAGATGAGTGTGTTGGTGAGAGCCTTTCAGTGAGTGTGGTCGGTGTGTCACAGACCCTTCAGGAAACTTCCCATCACCTACCGCAGCTATCCCTTCTACATAGATTCTTCTAATCTATTTAACAGGCAACTGGATTACAACCAGATCAGCTGTATCGAAGATGGGGCATTTAGGGCTCTCCGGGACCTGGAAGTCCTGTAAGTACTGCTGTTTCTCTTACCTTTTTAATGGGGGCTTTGTATCTGGAAGGGACTAATGTGGCGGTTTATCTGCTTGCTGCAAACCTTGTGTCAATGGTCTCTTAAGGGTACCTTACTTAAATGACTCATGGTTAATACAGAGAAGAGTTAAAATGTGTGTGTGTAAAATCTTGTGTACCACATCTGTGAGTTTAGGTAAAATTGTCTATTTAAGGGCATGCCAGTATACTCATTGTAAAAAAAATAGTTTCATAGAATTCACTGGATTTGTGTGGATTCTCAGAATTGTGAAATAATCAGATAAAATCAACTTTGTAGGAACAAAAACATCAAAACATAAGCTTCTTAGTAACTGATATGTTGGTATATTTTCTAGTTGCTAGGCAATAGAAACGTGTTTTCTCATTTAAAAATGCAGTTTTTAACCAGGCAACCTAACATTTTTGTGAGGTTATTTTGAAAGCTTTCTCCTGATTTTAATAAGTCACCCATTAGGTCCATTTTAAGGTCATCACTACTGACTTGTAATGCACGACATACACACTTGAATTAAAACTGGCATACTCTCTCTCCTTGCTGAGTAGATGTGATTGACAAAATTGGTTAATTGCAACTAGGTAATATTGATTGACTTTTGACTTACTGAAATAATTTTAATAAAAATATTTTTGATGAAAAAATTTTTTTACAATTTCTGAATTATTGTTTTATTATTATTTTATTTTAAAGATATGGGATACAATTCAGGATTTGATATATAAGTGGCCAATGTACAGGTGAAGTTGGGGCCTCCCATTGGTCCTCACTTCTCCTGGTTAGGGTGAGGAACCCCATTGGTGTCATGTACCCCTCGCCCTCCTTCCGTTGGCACTGACCTGCTACTGATTTTCATACAAACTCTAGTTAATAATTTTAATAAAAACTATTGTTACTAACACACTTTCTTCCACTACTTTATTCTGGAATTTTTTTTGAAGCCAAAGATTCACATTTCCAACTTTTTAAAAAAGTTTAGAATCAAAGGTACATTTCTAGTTTCTTAAATATATGTACAATTCCTCCTCAAGTTAAAATATTCTTCTATGCTTTATTTTATCCTTAGCACAACTTAGTCAGGAATCCAAATTTGAATTAAATGTGAGAGGGTTGAAGTTTTCCAGAAATCATCCAATTCTCCCACAAACAACAACAAAAAATGTATGCTTTATGAATTGAATTCTAAGAACAGAATAACATTTTGAAAAAGGCTTAATCTTTCAACTAAATGGCTTATTTTTGCAATGCTTTTTATACAGTTGGCTTTTAATTGTTTTAATTCTGAATAAATGAATAGAATTTCTGTGTCATGTCACTAAACTTTGTATAGAAAGAGACCACCACAAGAGTTATTTAATTGAGTGCAGCTGATCAAGCCAAAAATCTATGACTAAGTCAGTGCTCCTAACTAGAAATATGAACGATACCAATCATTTTATGAAATTTTTCGATCAAGTAAAAAAAACACTTAAATTTGTATTTGATATTACTCAGCTTATTTATTTAATCTATATGTGCAAATATATACATAAGTGTATTGACCACCTGTTAAGTGTATTTTATATGAAGGGGTGAGAAGTAAGCACTATGCTACACAATGAAACCTTTTACCCTAATACAGTAACTATGCATTTGTTTAATTGCGATAAACTGGTATTTTTTTAGAAGCCGCAAGTTTGTGAAAACACAATCATCGCCTCACATTTTGCGTGTCATGATAGCAAAATATCTAAAAAGTGACTGTAGCAAGAATGATGAAACACACCAGAGAGCGATATACATTTTTGGGGGTGGCTTGTCTGGTTTATTCATTCTTTTTCATTGAGGACAAATTCACATAAAATCAACCATTTTAAAGTGAGCCATTCACTGGCATTTAGTATATTCATAATGTTGTGCAACCATCGCCTACTTCCATCTCTAAAACGTCTTTATCAACCCTCAAAGAAAGCAGTTATTCCCCATTCTTCCCTCCCTCAGTCCCTGGAAACCATCAATCTGTTTTCAGTTTCTGTGAATTTGCTTGATAAACATTTCATAGTTCATGGAATTAAAATAAAAGTCTAAACTGTTGAGAACTCTTTTGTGGACCTCAATATGTACATCTCAAAGAAATATATATGGGCCAGAGCTTGTTTGTTGAAGAAAATATTTTAAAATAGCACAGGATACAAGAAGTTGTGATTTCTTTTTTAAATATTTAAATATCTTATATTAAAATTTTATAAAGTTGGCCAGAGATTATTTTAGTATATGTTATTTTTCAAAACATCTTCTTACTTTAAACTGCCACCAGAAAAATTAATTGATAAAACAAACAGTTTTAGGCAAAATTGGATAAAACACTAAAAAGACTAGGGTTTATTAAATGCAGATTTCTTATCAAATACGTCAAAATTGCCGATTATAAACATTTGACCAAGAGCTTATTCTTAATTGAATTGACACTAAGAAGGACTCAAGAAAGAAGGTTAGTGGTTTTGCTTATTTTTATCATTCGTGACTCTTTAGAGTATGTCTCATTATGTGACAATAATGAGGGAATATTTACTGACCGCCTTAAATTTCAGATTCCTGGGGTTTTAGATTTTTTTACAAACTTAAATTCAATGAACAATTTGTAAATGTGTGACTCTACTAACGCCAAACAGGAGAGATGAGATAATCATGGGTCATTGATGAAAACGTGTTAGATTCGGATATTTACGAAGGTAGAAAGAGTGAATAAAGTCCAAGAAGTCAAGTGAAAGTCAAGAGAGATGAAAGCTTGGAGTTAATTTATTACTTGTATGTGCATGGTGAACTGGTTTATTGTGAAATCCTTACTAGTAGGATTTATAATTAGTTGCTTATTTTCTTAATATTTAGATACCATCTCAGAAATAACATTGGAACTAAATCTAGATCAACGTTTTCCTTTTTTTTTTTTCTGGATGCTAGACGCAGAAATGAAATATAGCCTTTGAGTTACTACTTTTATATATTTTTCATTTTCCACAGAATGGGCATAATTTAATTGAATTAAATCTTAATGATTCATAGCCATTAAATACCAGACTCACTGTCAAGCCTTATGTTTTGTACTAAGTAATAAGAAAAACTAAATCAAGATATAAGCATAAAAGTTGCTCCATGATTATAAAAGCACATATTTTGTATTTATACATGAAGATGTCTTTTGTATTACAGTACATATTAAGACAAAATCTTAAAGCTGAGCATAGAAATAGCCTTATACATAGGACAAAGTGTTCACAAATAAATAAATACAATACATAAGTCTGTATTATTTCAAAATCAAAAGTGATTATAACTTTAATAGATACAGGTGATCATACTTTGCACTAATAATTTATGACTAACTTTTAAAATAACTTAATTTTGTTGGTTCCACATATTTTACAACCAGTTGGTATCAGTATCAGTACTGCATTGCCAGCATCAGTACTGAATAAAATAGTGAGATAATTTATTTCTTCAGTTACATTATGTGAACTAACATTTTGAGAAAACTTCAAATTGATAGATACAGGCTTCAACATTAACCGAAAACTCTTCTTTGCATGGAAATATAAGACACTATAGTTCAAAATTAATGCATGTATACTGTGTGTGAATTACTTAAAACAATTTATTCCCAAAGTCATATTTCAGAATGCTAGATACTGTAAAAATTTTAGCCATATTAAGTCAGCATAAATTTTGAGAGTGGAAGAAGGGGTCATTTGCAAGCAAATCCCTTTGAGAAGTGAAACCTTTTAGTTCAAACATCAGGATATATTTTAATGGCATTTGAAAAATACATCTCATTTCACTTGAGCACAGGAAAATGCTAGATGCTTTTAGATAACATGAGTCAACTAACCCATAGGTCCTCCCTAAAGTAGTTTCTGTTTTCTATGTGACTTAATTCAGATCGCTTGATTAGTTCTTACATAATTAAATGCATTTCAGAACTGGATAGTAAAGAGAGTCAATGCGTATTCTAGGTCTGTAGCTGACGTGCCTTACTTTACCGAGAGGTTTTAGTCAATTCTTCAACCCCTGACTACCCCATAAGCCACCATTGATAATCGCAGCCACCAGCTGGCCTAAAGAGGCCTCACAAATGTATTTCATTTAGTCCAAATGCAATTGGTCCACAGTTTCTCTGAACTATTCGAATTACTTGCCAGTATTTAAACATTAGTAGGATTGATTTAAAAATTTCCATTTCTGGCTTCCCTTGGAAAAATCAGATTGTTTGGCAGCCTTCCATTATAGCAGATCAAAACATGAAGAGCTACAATGAAGAATATCATCACTAACTTACCAAAATTCTCACTGTCCCCACTGTCTTTCTACTTTTTTCTACCTCTTTTGCCTGTTGTAATTTCTTTGCTACATGGTCTGTTTTTCTCATTTTTGTTCCCTGCCTAGCCTGTATGGGCAAGTGATTTGCAACCCCTAATTCAAACTGCTCACCAGTTTCAAACTTAATTCACCTGGATTGTTGATCCTATCTTTCCTGCCTCTTTAGAAACTTGTTCTATTTAGTCATCACCCCACTGTATCTTCAGTTTCTTCCCCATCTTAGAATCACTTTCTATTTCCACACTTTACTCACACACACCTGCAATAACTTCTACCACTTTCTTATCATAACTGGATTTCTCTAAAGAGGAAAAAAAAAAAAAGAAAAAACCCTCACATCTTAATCTAAGTTTCTGAAATTTGTCTAATTCTTCTCCCCAGCTGGACTGTATGCTATTTTAGGACAGGACTTATGCCTGATTAACTGTTTGGGGTTTTTTGTTGTTTTGTTTTTTTTTTAGTTGGAGTCTCACTCCATCGCCCAGGGTGGAGTGCAGTGGCATGTTCTCAACCACCTCAAAGTCAACCTGCTCGGCTCAGGTGATCCTTCCACCTCAGCCTTCCAAGTAACTGGAACTACAGGCGTGTGTTACCACGCCCAGCTAATTTTCTGATTTATTGTAGAGATGAGGTCTTGCCAAGTCACCCAGCCTGATCTCGAACCTGTGGACTCAGGCAATCCCCTCACCGCGGCCTCCCAAAGTGCTAGGATTAGACTTGAGCCACTGCACTTGGCATGATTTGCTTTTATAATATTCCATGTTGCCATAAAATAGAAACCATTCAGGAAATATTTGATGAATGAATGAGTAGTAGTAGTAGAAATAATAATTATTATTAATAATAATAAAACTAACAATCCTGCATTAGGAAAAAGTAGAAAATATTTTAACCAAGCAAGGAGGATAATTATTTTCAACACAATTGTCTACTTGACCAACCATCTTCCTGGCTGTACCTCAAGGAACCATGATTGCTGCCACATAGCACTTAAAAAAAAAGATAGAAAAAGGAAAAGGCTAGTGTTTGTGGTAGCAACTAAAAACTGTTAGAACAGATTAATCTTTTAATATAGTACCACAGCATGTCACTTCATCCCAACCTGATGCAAGTACCAAATATAGATGTGTGTCTGTCTACTCAACTTTCAACAGTGACTGACGTCTACAGTAAGGAATAATTAGCAAAACTCTGTTCCAAGGCCTGACAAGAATGATTCTGTACTGTTGCTATGAGATTTCACCTAGAGAATTCAAATATGTTCATCTACTCATACACAAATTACACATAATACCTCCTAAGGAAATGTAGTTGTGCAAAATTTCCAACTGTGACTGTCCTGTGTTTATCTCTTAACCAATATTATGAACAGACATGCAAGTACAAGGTGTATAAAGTAACATGTAAATAGTAAAAGATGCTAAGGGTAAAACCATACATTTACAATAAATGTTGAGTAAAACTCAATGCATGACAATATATTAAAATGTGAAATATATGTATCAACTTGTCTATAAAATAATGCATCCCTATGCCTTCTCTACCAGATAGTTTTCTTGCATAAGCATAGTCAAAAGATGTTTTCTTTATGTTAAGATATAAAATTGTCATATGTTTCTATATCTAAAACTTCTAACTTTTCTTTTTATTCTACAGCACTCTCAACAATAACAACATTACTAGACTTTCTGTGGCAAGTTTCAACCATATGCCTAAACTTAGGACTTTGTAAGTAGTCATAATATAAGTAAAGGTCAAATTAATCAATTAAAACTTCCTCTTAAGAATTTGTTTCAGAAAGCAAAGAAGACTCCTAATTTATGAGGTAGACAGGAGACTATAACTTTGGACAATTATAGATATGATATTTGAGAAAATGAACTATTATTCTGGGAACTTGAAGGCTTTCTTTAAAATGATATGCATTATGGGAAGTTTAGAGTAAAAAAAACATTTACTTTGAGCTATTGTGGAGGTCACATTTCATTAAGAAATGGAAGACTCCTTGATTGGCTGTCAGAAATGATAAATGGGAAATCTTTATGATTTTATTACTATACTGCAAGCAGACCTAATAAAGCTAAACTGGTTTTCCAACATTCTTTACAACGTGAAATTATAGCATCACCTTCTAGGGCTTCTGTAATTAAGATTATGTCAGCATTTATTTTTGAAATATCTTTTTGGGGGTTACAGATGGACATTAATATATTTTTGGTGAATAAAAATAATTTTACAATAAAGTGTTGGCTACAGCTTTCGTTTTCTCTCTCTTATTTTTTAAAGTAACCCTTAAAACCCAGAGTGAGGGTATATAGTAATAGCATTTTCAGAGATAAATTTCACTTGAACTGAGTTTCTGAATCACCTTGACATAAAAAATAAATACAACATATGGGACTTGGTTGGAAACAAATCCAAAGCATTGGATTTCTTGACCAAAGAAAGTGTTTTTAAATAAAGTAAATATATGTCGATGGGATTTTTAAAATATTTCTCATTTTCTATTAACATAACTGGAAAATATATTTTTAAATAAAAGTCTATTTAATTCCCATCTTTTTAGTGAATTATGCAATAACAATTTTTTTTTTTTTGAGTTGGAGTCTCACTCTGTCGCCCAGACTGGAGTGCAGTGGCCACTCTCGGTCACCACAGCCTCGCCTGCTGGGCTCCAGCGATCCTTCCGCCTCAGCTTTCCAAGTAGCTGGAATTACAGGCATGTGCTACCATGCCCGGCTGATTTTTTGATTTTATTGTAGAGATGAGGTCTCGCTGCCCAGGCGGGTCTCGAACCCGCGGGCTCAGGCAATCCACTCACCTCAGCCTCCCAAATGCGCGGGATTACAGGCTGAGCCACTGAGCCCGGCTTGCAATAATAATTTTAATATCATTTATTCTTCACTGACATCCAACTCTGTGTTATCACACACATCATTAAAATTCCCTCATAATATGATTTAGCAGAATAGAGAAATTCTACACGTATACAGACATAACTAAATGATATGTTTCTGGAACTGTCAGATTGAGACTGATCTGACTGAATTAACAGTCCTGTTCACTCAAACTATAGTTTCCCATAGACTTTAGGTATTTTTTTTTTTTTTTTTAGGAAATTGATCAAGCTTTCAATCCTTGTAAAAAGAAAACCACTGAAACTGTAAAGGAATTCATCATCTGAATTTTTGGTAGTTTTCCTATTTTTTTTTAAGAAAACCATTCGTTTGTCTTACTGTTCAGATTTTGTTTAGTCTTTTTGGGTTTTATCTCATTTCAAATATGTGCTAACATAATTAGAATTTTTGCTATGTGCTTGGTTTGGATGGAAATAGTTCTTGAACAAGGATGTAGAATGTGCCTTTGGTAATTCCAAAGAATGGCACTCCAATTTCCAAGCAAACTGAGCCAGAGGTCACTGATGTTTGCCAAAATGCAGCTTTTTGTTCTGTGTCATGACTTCTAGTTTGGACGCAGAATATCTCTTGTTGAGCTACAGCCTCAAGGAGAATGTAAAACAGTCAGTCATCTAACTTTAAATTACTTTGCTTTGGTTGGCTCATTATTCTATAGCATCATTGCTACTTAAAGATTCCATTTTTATAGTCCAGTTATCTTTCTGGACTGAGTTCCATGTTTTAATATCCATTACTGTTATTGGATTAGAATTGAGCACATCAGCTTAAAAGGACTAAAATGGTATTATTGTGTTGTAGATGGTTCTGGGAATGGTACTTTGATTTATAGCTTTGGATGTTCTTTTTTCTTTATTTGAAAAAACATAAAAGCCAGTTTGAAGTCATTTACCTAATTTAATGGATACATTTGCCTGATATTTTATTAATGGAGAAGTGCTATTTGCCACTTGGAAGCAATCCATGGTCTTGTACGAATCCTGCCAACATAGAGGGGACTCACTTAATTCCTTCATTGCTGGCCATTTGTGCCTTTTAATTTCAGTCCCTGCTCTGTGAGGATAGGTCTCCAAGAGTAAAGCAGTTAATCCCTTTTCTGTGATTAAACAACAAAAGGAGGAAATCAGAATAGGGATATGAAAAAAAGTGTTTCATGTTGAATTATTATTCCGTCTTGTTCAGCAAAAAATGAAAATGACTTGCTAAAAAAGATTTGCAAGCAGTTTCTATAGAGACTAATAATGGCACGACTTACTGATATTTTAAACTGGGAGTCTCAACTTTCATTAACTTGCGCCTTTCCCCTGCCCTCCCACTTTCCCACCCCATCCCCATCAGCACTCAGTATGTTGGAACTGTGGAGTAATTTTCCTTGGACTTATTTTATCTCTCTCTGCTCTTTTACATGAACAAAGGCAAAATAATTTTAATGTTGTTTGTATTTATTTGCTATATTTGCTAAGCTCAGAGTAAAAGAAAAGGGACTTCGATCTGTGGTGATAAGCCACAGTGTTATTTTTAAAAATTACTATATTGGAATTTGCTAAGCTTTATTTCTATGTTACATATCAGCATAGATTATTATTAATGATTTTTTCAAGTTTTGAAATAACTGTTTTCTGTTTTCTTGCTTCAAACTTCTTTCTGCACATTTAGTCGACTGCATTCAAACAACCTCCACTGTGACTGCCACCTGGCCTGGCTCTCCGACTGGCTTCGCCAAAGGCCTCGGGTTGGCCTGTACACTCAGTGTATGGGTCCATCCCACCTGAGAGGCCATAATGTAGCTGAGGTTCAAAAACGAGAATTTGTCTGCAGTGGTAAGGGAGAAAGAAGGGTTGTGCTCTTGTCTTATCATATGCTATTGTGTAGCAGAATGGGAAGAGGACATGCTTCAAAGTTTTCGGTGTTGCTCACTAATATGTACAACTGTGTAGGCACTAATCGCTCTATGGAAATCATCTTTTAAGTGATAACAATATTGGTACATTGACTGGCAATTACTGATTACTTTATGCAAATTCTGACTAAAGATTATATTCAGTTTTCACCTCTGGGAAAATATAGGAAATTCCCATATTATGCTTCCACTTGTGACTCATTATTTTTCCTTTAAGTAGCAAATTATAGCTACTTTTATGTTAACAATTAAACAATGATTAGCTAATCTGGGATCCTTGCTGTGAAATTCAAAGAGCTATTCAACCATAGCTGCAAAGTAACAAAACACTTTTCTTGTATACATATATACTAATGGTTCAATTCTAGTTAAAACAAATAATGAATGACCAGCTGTAGCAATAAAAATTTGAAAACAAAAGTAAGACATGGGCTATGTGTAATATCAATAGCTATCATTTACTGAATTTTTCTGTATGCTTAAACACCAATCTAAATATTTCACATAAATTTACCTTATTTCACTTCCCTCAAAACAACTGTATGAGAAATGCAATATTATTTCCATATTATAGATTAAAATGCTGTGAAAAAGAATAATCTTGCCAAAGTTTACGTAGATCTCAACTTGTGTAATTTGAGTCCCTATGAATGCTTTGCACATAATATAAAATACATATTATATATACATATCCATTATATATAGATATCTATTTTATAAATATTGGGCAGAATCTGTTCACAAAACAATAAAACAATTTTAAAACATATATATAATGCATCATAAATAGTTGGTTTTAAAGGAAGGGTGGGGAGGGGTTGCTAGGATTTGATTCCATTTTATTGTTATCCTTTATATCCTTTTGTGTATTTTCCCATACATTTTATCGCCTAAACAAAAATTTCTTATAATATCTGGAATGTTCTCAAATATGTCTGATTGCTATTTTTGAAAAGTAAATAATGAAATGACTAACAATTTGTTACTAACCACTTTTTTCTCTTCACTTTTTCCTTCCTGTTTTCTAGATGAGGAAGAAGGCAAGTTCACCTTTCTTGTTTAGACTGAGGATGTTTTGTAAAATTTGAGAGCTTGTTTAGAGGGATAAGGTTAGCAACTAGCCAACAGGCCCTTCTGAGCACATCACCATCATTTGGGCCCTTCCCCAGCAGGTTCTAGAGGACAGTCCCTGCTGACCTCCAGAGACCATACATTTGTAGATGCTTATTTGGCACAGCCCTTTAAAATGGTGTGGTTTCCAAATATTGAGTAGTAAAAATGCATTGCTGAAGTAACTACTGATGCTAAAATTTTAAATCATGTGAACCCTCAAAAAGAATCATATAGATTAGCAATTACAGAGTGCCATGGTACAAATTGTTATAATAATTTCAAAAAAGTGGTAATTTTGAATCTATTCAGACATCAAATTTAGGATTATCTAATTTTCCTCCACGTTTTGGGGAACATAATTATTGGATTTGAGCAGCAATTATCTTTTACCAAGATGAAAGTCTTTCTGTTTTCCTCTCTTTTCTTTAGACAAAGTTAATTAAGCCACATAAATTTGATAAAGAACAAGCTCTCTTTAAGCTTACTAGAAATGAATATAGGTTAGTCTGAGATTGATGCTTATTTTGGGAGTTAGAAGAATTTTGAATAGAACTCTGATTTTGAAACTGAATTTAGCTTTTCTCTAATTTTTTCAAGTTTTAAAAATTACCACTTTTATGATCAATTTTTAAAATCTCATTTACTTCATCCCATTTGCTTTATTGACCTGAAAATATAAATGCATGCCTCCTAAAATATATTTTGAGACTATAGAACCGTTTTATGATCAGGTATTTAAAGAAATTTATTTCTGTCAATTGCTTTGTTACTCAAGCTAAGTCTGCATGTTTCACGATTATGAAACTGAGGAGGAAAAATATAATTATGGCTTATTTCTTTTTTTTAGGTCACCAGTCTTTTATGGCTCCTTCTTGCAGCGTTCTGCACTGCCCTGCCGCTTGCACCTGTAGCAACAATATCGTAGACTGCCGTGGGAAAGGTCTTACTGAGATCCCCACAAATCTGCCCGAGACCATCACAGAAATGTATGTTCCCTGAAATTCCTCCTTATTCCTCGACCTCCTCAATGAAGCAAACCTTGATTTTCTTTAGGAGATTTTGTGTTTCTCAAAGGGGCGTTTGGTCAGTTAGCTTAGACAAATGTTCCTTTCAGGAGTATATTGACCTTTACTCTGTTTAATTAATATGTAGTTTGTCAAAGTTTTCTTGCACAGGTAGAATGAAAAAGAATACGTTTTTTCCCCTTGAGTTGGAGTCTCACTCCATCGTCAGACTGGAGTGCAGTAGCACGCTCACCACCGCCCCAGCATCCACCTGCTGGGCTCTACTATCAGTCCACCTCAGCCTTCCAAGTAGCTGAAACTACAGGCATGTGCTACTACATCCGGCTAATTTTTGATTTATTGTAGAGACGAAGTCTCGACAAGTTGGACTGGTCTCGAACCCACAAGCTCAGACAATCCACTCGCCCCGTCCTTCCAAAGTGCTGGGATTACAGGCTGAGCCACCGAGCCCAGCCAAGGAATGCATTTTAAGGAAAAGAAAAATAGGACTTTCTCTCCCTTGAGAAGGTGTTATTAGGCTATTTACAAAAAATAAGACAAATAGGATTGTTTGTTCCTAGTTCAAACTTTTGGGCCTGTAGATCTGCTGTTGTCCATTTCCAGCTTATAGCAGTAGAAGTAAAAAGAGGGACATGGTTGGGGTTAACAAACCATAGAAACAAGATAGTTAAATGATGCTCTGCCTTCTTGAAAGCTCACGTTTTAGAATGCAGCTTCACTATCTTGTTTGATTGGTGATTCAATGTAAAGTTTAAAAAGGATAGTATTATAAAATCAAATATAAAGCTGTTTTAATTAGTGTGCATTTTGGCCTATTTGAGTCCATGACTCCCTCCATGAAAAGTTAAATTCTTATGATAAGGTATCGCATACCTATTTCGTATGCAGCTGCTGAATGCATTTCTATGTCCTTGCCAAATAGAAATCATGTGGATAAAATAAGGTCATATAAGTTGTAAAATAAAATGCTTTACCATCTTGAGAAGTAAGCACTAGGAAAAATATTTACATCAGTATTTATTAATTATGAAAGCTCCTCTTAACCTCCTAGCCTATCTTATGATTGTTTTATAGCTCTAAATTGAAAATAAATAAATGATTTTGGATGCTTTCTGTTGAAATAATAGAAACTTCTTGTGATAGCCCTACATAGCAAGCCAAAAAATTATTATTTTTTAAAAATGTGCAATTTTTGAAATGGATTTAATTGCTATAATAAAGTAACTGTTCTAATATACTCTATATGAGAACAATCTTAGCTTTTAAGACTTACCACCATTATTCTAAAATGTCTCAAATGTGCTGAGCAGTGTGCTTACCGCTTTGCAGTGTAAGGCATGCTTCTCGACAGCAGCTCTAGACTCTGTGGACTTTTGACACAGACACCAAATAATGTATGCACATAATAATATTCTCATCAAAATTTTAATTTATGGAGCATTACTTTACCTAGAGAAGACTTTTGTAAGTACTTTTTAGCTGAACCTTGAAAGAAAAAAAGATACAGTTTGGGAAGAGGTGGGTGGTCTGCCTGAAAGAGATACATCAGCAGCAAAGGGCAAGAGGTGGCAGTGAGCATTGTGTCTGAGAGATTGTACATTTGAACCTAAGTAAAATAACAGGTTCATGTTAAGGTGCATGGAAAATAAGACCCTAAAAAAGACACCTCCATCTAATTTTAAAGCCACAAATCACTGAAGACCTTCAAGCTTAGTCAGAACATATTAAATGTGATTAAGTAAATAGAGGACAAATGTAGGAAGTTTCCTAATAGGGGAATTGGATATTCATCTATCCACACACAAACATTTGTTAAGTAATCACTTGCTAGATTAAGGAACCATGAATACTCCAGAGATCTTTCATCAAGTGGCTAGCAAATTTGACCATTCAAATGAAATGGGGCCAGGCATGGTGACTCAAGCCTGTAATCCCAGCACTTTGGAAGGCAAAGTTGAGAGGATTGCCTTAGCCCACGGGTTCGAGACCAGCCTGAGCAACATGGTGAGACCTCATCTCTACAATAAATTAAAAAATAAGGCAGACATGGTAGTGCTTACCTGTAATTACAACTACTTGGAAGACTGAGGCGGAAGGATTGCTGGAGACCAGCAGGTCGACGCTAGGGTGACCGTGAGTATGCCACTGCACTCCAACCTGGGCGACAGATTGAGAACCCAACTCAAAAAAAAAAAAAAAAGAAACCTATGAAATGATGTACATAGTAAAAAATGTAATAAGAGATGAACACATCAAGTTCAAGGTACTATAGAGGGTTCCAAGTAGAGGGCAAGGTACAGTGGTGAACTAGATTCAGAATGTTTTAGTTGGAACCCAATTACCTTAACTACCATTTACTTCCTGTGAGACTGTGGGCAAGTTGCTTAATCTCTGTGAGCTTGTCTCTTCACCTAAAACTAAGAGTTGTTGTCATTCTAACATAAAATAATTGACACATGTAGACTCATATGTGCTTAAGTGCATAGTAATTGTTCCATAAATGATACCTCAATTATAGAAGCCTTTCTGTGGAAGCAATATATATACCTAAGGTAGACCTTGATAAATTGGTTGTAAATGAAAATACAGAGAGGATAACAGGGTTTTCAGAATTAGTATAACATAGTGAGCATAGGCAATAGAAATGAAAGTACAAAACTCTACGATACAGGAGCTCAGCTTGACTGATATTTCATACTTGAGATAATATAGAAAAATAAGTTGGAAAAATTGGTTGGAACCAATTCGTGGAGTGCCTTGTTAGTATAAGGAATGTAGACTTTATTTGGAACGCATTTAAAGATAGAGTTTTAATCTGAATCTTCTAAAATAATTAGTCTGATATATTTGTGCCAGTGATTTGGCAAAAGAAGAGCATGAAAGGCAAGAGGCTTCTTAGAGACCATTATGTTGGTCCTGATGGAGATGTCAGAAGAGCGGGAGTTAGTAATAGTAGGAATGGTGGTGTGGAAACAAATATAATGCAGCAGCAGAATTAATAGGATTTTGCATTTGATAAGATGACAAAGTAATGGAGAAAAATAAACCAAAGATGATATCAAAGTTTCAAGTGTCAGTGATGGGGAGGCAGTGGTTATATCTGTGTATAGGCTGAGGAAAGGACCAAACCCGGGAAGGAAGATGATGGTGAGCTCAATTTGCGAAATGCTGAAGTACCAGTGGCGTTCTTAGAGGTACTAAAATAACACACACTTTAATAATTTTGGAGCAAGCAAGGTAGGAACTTGGGACAAAGATTTTGTAGTAATTAATGTAATAATAACAAAGATGATACATGAAGCCATCAATTGACCAGTGGAAATGGCAAGAGAAGAGAAACTGAAACACCTAAATGAACACAGCAGAGTGCTCTGACAGGTGAGGGAGAAAGGGGCTTCTGAGAAAAATGATCTGTAGAGGCAATACTGCCGCGAGTTAACCAAGTTGAAGTCTGAGAGGTCGTCTTGGAATTGGACCAGCATATTGTTCTTGGAGGATACTATTTTTATAGAGTGGTAGGTTAATAAGCCACTTTTCAGAATATCAAGAAAAGTATTACTGATAAATATCAGGTAGAGTAGATATGGAATAGTTTGAAGACTTTGTCTAGAACTGACTTTTTTTAAAAAGACAGTTGTTATTGTAAAGAACATACTTGTATTCATTTAAAAATACAGAAACTTGGAATTATTAAGTAGTCATAAAGAATGAAATGAGTTTAGAGAGAAATGAAAGTGTGAGAGCTAAATAAGATATGTGTAGAAGCAAGATCATTTGGGACACGGAACGAAATTGATTAAATCCATATCATAGGAATGGAAAACAAAGAGCTGTTGTTGTAGGATGATAAAATGACAAGAGTAGGTTGGAAACATAACATATTGAAAACAATATGAGACAGTTAAAATGGTTATCTTATGAAGTATGAAGTATGTTTTATTTTTTTGTCATAATCCTTTTCTTCTACTTTGTATGCTCTGAGATTTTGTATAATGGTAGTATTAGGTGGCATAAAAGTTACACTAAATGATACGTCTCATTGGGTTTGCCTGTATTGAGGAGGTGTATCAGGTAAAGCTACTATAAATTAAATTTATAAAGAGAGATGAAAGCATGTGAAACTCTGGGTGAATTTTACTTCCCTGATTATTACATTATCAGCTTTATCAGTAGAGCATGCACTAATAAATCATATTGATCTTCAAGCCCAACAAAATACTTCCATTGTCTTTCATTATAATGGCAAACTTACTAGCTTAGTAACTCATTTCTTTTATTACCCTTTTATCTTTTATAAGAATAAAGAACATCAATAAGATTATTAAACGTGAAAGAGATATACAGCATCATTTTTATCTTTATAGATGGAAGTTTTTTAATACATGATCAGCTGAAAATTATAAACTCCCCCATATTACTCCAATATACTCATATTTTTAAAATCTAGATTTTACCATAAGTTTTCAGTGGAGTTCCTTTATTGCACATTGTCAGGTATTTTATTCAATAATGTTGACTTTATTTCCTACTTTGAGATGCGTCTTTATTATTGCAACAGTCTCATAATGTAATTATTACAAAAAAGTATGTATATGCTATATAGGAGGGATCAACTGCCTATAAATCTAGGTAAAGAATCATGGCTCATTTTTTTTCTGCTTTGTGTTTCCAACTACAAATTCATACTTCTGGTATTTTCCAAAACAACTAATTGTTAAACTATAAAAAGAAAATATGCTTTCAAAGTCAGAACTGTAGTCATTTGGAGACGAAAGATAGAAAGAGACTAACATTTATCTAATATCTGCAATGTTGGGTGCTTATACACACACATATCATTTGAAGTTCTCATTGTGTTGGGGAATTCAGCAAATTAAATAAAATAGGAAAATTGATGCAGAGGCATGTGCGAGGTCAAGGCTGGAGGTTTTCTCCAAGATGCCTAATTACACTGATGATTT